TGAAGAAGCAAGCGAAAGAAGAGCCAAAGAAATTAGGGAAGTCATAAAGTGGAAAGGAGAAGATTGAGGGCCAGGCGATAGCCCATTCATTTTATGTGATCTTCACGCCAGTGGTCATTCAGCGCGTTTGAATGCGAAGTTTCACGTTGGTTTCACGCCTGGCGATCCTTGTCATATCGGTGATCCGCTCATTGCCCAAGTTGCGCTAGCCATTTTGCTGAAACTCCGGTGGCAGAGGTATCGCACTCATGGGCCCAGCCTTCAGGATTTTGCGATTCTTGAGCGAAGAGACTTGAACTCGGGCACGTTTACATAAATAAGATCAAACGAGTCGGCCCGCCGGGCAGTGCCGGTTCCAATGCGGCTCCGACGCCGACATAGTTTTCCTTCGGTCCTCAAGTTCCCCACAGCAATGCAACGCTCCTTGTCCCCTCGGTTTACCCGAATTTTGAGCTGACAGCGCACCATATGCAGCCGCGGCCGACTTTCGCCGCAATTTGTATTTCTGCTTGAAGGTTCTGTGTAAATTATCCACATTGCCACCACACTCGAAAAGTGCCCGTGCTCACAGAAATCTCGCTCGTCAGAGTCGTTTCCTCTCGCTGCGAACGAAAATTGGACCAACGCTGGAAGCGGACATTTGGCAACGGTGGCGTCGCCATGTTTACCTTGGTCTCGGACTCTCGGGCATCGGCAAAAGATTCCCCTCACTTGGGACGTTTTATCATCAATCGCAAGAACACTAACGGATGTCAATGTCGTCCCAACAGCAGTCATTCCGCATGGAACAGAACCTGGACTTTTAGAAACTCTCGAGGAAACTGGAGTTCAACAAGAGCGAATGCGGGACACGGCTTATGACGGAAACACCGCAGAATTTCTGCGGTGCTGTACCTCTTTGGTTTCTCTCATTTTTGCGCTTAGAAGAAGACCCATTGTGAACTGCTCAAGTCCTGACCTGAACTCTTGCTTGTCGCCACATAGCGGCCCGAAAAAATGCACAGGGACTCTAGGTCCATTCTCAACGTCGGACATCCACGTTGCGTCCCCACCTGTCTGCTAAGGTTCAAACCGCTACCTACCCGGAGCCAAAAAGGAGCACCGAGGTTAAAAAACAAACCTCGAATTGGAGGAACAAAATGTGCCAAGAATTTCTCGGGAACAACCTGTATCTTCTGCATACCCGGGACGTTGAAGTAACAAATAGCAAGTCCCAGACAGAGGGGGATCTTGACTCTACACTGAGGCGCAACGGGAGTTCGGGGCCAAGGCCGTGATCGCCGTCTTATTCGCAACCTCCTTTTCTACTTACCTCCCCGTCTTCGAAAAACGACGCACTTTTTTCAGATGCACGTGAATTCTTCCCCGCCGTCCTCCAGAACCTATTCACTGCGGTGCCGCACCCGTTAATGTCGCAGAGCCACGCCCGGACCGCCAGGTGTGTTTTTACCGCTGACTTCTTCGTCGATGTTCCTTTAGCATGGGCGAAAACCGTTAGATACTTCAAAGATATGTGACTTCTGCTAAGAGGGCGTTGAAGAGAGGAGGGACGAGTCGCCTCTGCCCAACCCCGCCGACGGTATTCTTGATGGTGACTTCAGGTGTGTGGCGGGTGGTATGTTATCGTGTCTTCCATGTGGATAGGCTGCTGAACAGACGGTATGTTTTGTGGATTTGGGTGCGGCATCATTCGTCCCTCCAGGATATGACTGCAGATACTGCGGCTCGTTTACTAGGGTAAACTTTTTTGTTCGAAACTCGACTTCCACTTACACTACTTAGTACTAGTGTTAGGACTTTTATGTCCGCACTTTCCCCACTCACTTCGCCGTCGCGCCAAATAGACGTGCTCCACCGCATTTTATTAGCTAAAGCTCAATAAATGCACGTTTTTGCGCACTTCTAGGACGTCGCTCAAAGCTTGGACGTCGCTCTTTATGTCGCCCCGGGCTTTCTTGGGTATTTTGATTCCCGTTGGCGTTTGGGAGGAATTTGCCGCATCTATCTGTGCCTGACTTTCATCTCCCACAGCACCCTCGTTCCAGCCACCCGTTGTCTTGACTGTGCTCGTTGAATGCCTCGTCATTGTATCACTGTCCTACGAATATGCTTATCCTTGCTGTCGACGCGTCCCCAACGAAGATCCCTTTTTGCGGTCCAAGACTTAGGTCTCAAAATAAACTCCACATGTTTCGAGCGCGTTCTCCTGAAATGGAACCAAGGCTGTAGTTCTTTCCCAAGGCTCTGCTGTCGTTGGCTTTAAAAGATAAGACGTGGAGAATTCTTAAAAGACGACAGGGCCAGATCGTCAAGTCAATCAACAGACCCAGAACGACCCAGAACGACCCAAGGTACTGCTCTCCCGCCTGATCCGAAAATTATTTGCTGACGCCATACCTATCGATCAGGCTCCGATGCTGCTCTTACTCGTTCACGTCGCCACATCCAGGCTTGCACATCAAAATATCAGGCTGTTTCGTGGAACTGAGGGACACCACCGCCTGCATTTTGCCCATCGTTGCCGGAAATCTGTTACCGGATTCAATTGCTGTGGACTTAATCAATTGCTGTGGACTTGAAATGGCTCTATCACGCGAGGTACGAGCTAAGTATTGATAGAGCGTCTGTCAAGAGAAACTATGAAATGGCAGCACTTGACGCTCCGCTCTCGTGCCCCAAAGCCAACTCACCAGATCAATTCAATTGCTAGGTACATATTCGTTTAGGTACATATTCGTTCGCCAACTCCGATACTCTGCTGAACATATATATACCAGGCGGGCCTCCATGCTTCTCCTACTCTTCCTTGTTCACATCGCCAAAAAAGCAAACCTTGCCCATGCAAATATTCTCGAGCTACGCGCTGACGGGGTCGCTTGCAACGACATCAACGACTCCCGAACGCTGTTCGATATCATATGGGGCTGTCTCGCCACTGTCTTCGCCTGCACCTGGGTCGCCGTACACCAGAATGTTCCGCCGCCTGACCTGGGAAGGCTGTCACTACAGCTGCGAAAACTCAAGATGATGCTCTTCACTGTTATCGCTCCGGAGCTCGTTGTGTGCTTGGCTGCCCGGCAGTTTTTTGATGCTCGGTATATTGCCAAAGGTCAGGATTTCCTTTCGTTAGCGTTGTGTTCGGTACTGAGCTCACTGTACACAGAATTTGATGTTCCCAAGACGCACGCATTCTTTTGCTGCATGGGTGGCTTCATCACGGAAGACGGTCATCCCACCGCAGAATTCGAGCACCTCCCCGGATATATCCCTGCCATCCGAAGCATCAAAGAGGCCGACATTAACGACAAAAGCAAGGGGGATGCACTATCCAAGGGTCTGGCCATCACACAGGGGCTGTGGTTCACAGTGCAATGTCTTGCCCGGTTCCACCAAGGTGTTCCCGTAATCGAGATCGAGGTTGCCACCCTTGCCTTCGCCGTCGTCAGCATTTTTATCCGGCTGTTTTGGTGGTCGAAACCGCTCGATGTCCAACAACCTATTGTTGTAGCTGGAGGAGCTAGGGTACTTCCATCCTCGGACATAAGGGACTTCCAGGTCCTGGCAGCGACCACGAAGAGATTGCCAAGCTTGAAAGACGAGTTGCGCGGTGCGACGTTGTGGGATTATCCGGAATATCGGGCCTCATCATCCACATCGGTGCCCATGTTCTATTCCATTAGACTGGGCAGTTCCGGGCCGACTTCGCTGAACATGTCGGTTTTCGCGGTAGAATTCATTGTCGGGGCGTCGTTCGGGGCTGTTCACTGCGTGGTCTGGAACGCGACGTTCCCCACTATCGCGGAAATGTGGATGTGGAGGTTAAGCTCAAGCTTTGTCGCTGCGTATCCACTGTTCTTGGGTGGTTCACTTGTGTTGGATCATTTCCTCGCCAGGAAACTGGAGCATTCCACCTTCAAAAATTTGCCTTACAATGTCCTGAAAACAATGTTTCTCGGGGGAGTTCCGGTCTACATTTTATGCAGACTATTTCTTATTGTACTACCCTTTACCACGCTCCGCGCTCTTCCTACCGGCGCCCTCGTGGACGTCGACTGGAGCGTATATATTCCACATCTTTAGGTAGAGCAATACGCGCCATCTACGTACGGACTGTGCTGTTTCATAGACAATCAATACTCTTGTTTTTTGCGGCTCTCCAACTAATGAATAAGGTGCAGCAGTTGAACTTGACGATTCCAACCATGGGAACAAATAACAGGTTTGTCTTCTCGAAATGGACCCTTGAGACTCGTCTGTGAAGGTATAAAGAACCTGGCATGGAAGCCGTTTTGATGCTCTCATCTTCGAATGACAGAGAACGATTCTGCCAGTGGTAAGATCGAAAAAAAAAAAAATTGTTCAGCCCTAACCGACCGAGCTCAAGCAAGCAGTGTTTCTAATCGGACACGGGGAGTCGAACCCGGCCTTCATTCCGACTGGAATTTTCGGCACATTGGAAGGAGGCAGGTGCCATACTGTGCATCCGATTTCTGGTACGACTAGGAGGGTCAATATTAATACGTGGGCATTTGTGAAGAAATACTCAATTCAGGTTCTGAATGAAAACCTCAGGCAGCCGCTACAAGAATCTTTCAAGTGTGTGCCGTACACTACCTTCGCTGTCGCGGTAGCGGACTCGGACAAGTTCGCATTTTCTGGTGCCAGTTGAAGGGAAAAAGCGATACAATCAGGCACTATTTGGACACGGGGAGTCAACCCCGGATTCCCTCTTGCATCCTCGTGCCAAAACCCAAAGGAAAGGAGGATGTTTACCGTACACCATGTCCGATTCTGGTATCACTGTAATGGGATAGGGGGGTAAAGTTTTGTAAGCCGTCGGGCGCACACTTTGAAGGGGGAAGAAGTTGAAGTCCAACGATTCGAGTTCGCGTTCCACCCGCCTCAAGAGTAATAAGGTGTGGGTTCTGTGAAGTTGGATGAGCAATTTTTGTGTGGTGGGTTGAATTAAGGAAAAAGGATTCTGGAATGCTGACAGCGTATTCGGACACGGGGAGTTGAACCCCAGATTCCCTCCTGCATTTTATTTCGCGTGCCTAGGGAGGGTGTGTACCGTACACCATGTCCGATTCCTGGTATGACTGTGAACTTTGAAGGGATAGGGGGGTAAAGTTTTGTAAGCCGTTGGACGCTCACTTTGAAGGGGGAAGAAGTTGAAGTCCTAGTATTCGAGTTCATGTTCCACCCGCCTCAAGAGTAATAGTAAGGTGTGGGTTCTATGAAGTTGGAGGAGCAATTTTTGTGTGGTGGGTTGAGTTGAGGGAAAATGATTTTGGAATAATGCGAGTTGAACCTCAGATTCCCTCATACATCATCTTTGTCTCGCCAAGATGGGAGGGTGTGTACCCTACACTATATCCAATTTCTGGTACATCTGTGAAGGCGAATAGATAAGGAACTTTGTGCAAGCAGTTGCACGGAAGTAAGTATGTACTCAACTCATGTTCGCTTGCTGGAAGAAGTTGAAGCGAGGGGAACTGAGGTTTGAGTTCGACGAAGAGCGTGGAACTCCTGAGAAGTTGGTTGAGCAATTTTTTTGAGGTGGGTTTAATTGCAAAAAAAAGAAATAAAAGTTCTATCTACACCAATTCGGACGCGGGAGTCGAACCCCGGCTTTCCTTCGTTATCGGACGCTGACTGCCACAGGCGAGGAGGGTGGGCGCGGTACCATGTCCGATTCCTGGTATGACTGTGAACGTCAATAGTCGGGCGAGATTTTACGAGCGTTTGTGGGGAACTCATCTTTGGATGTTGACGTTGTTAACATGTTATTGATGAGCACCATGTCCCGAGCATTTTCCCGGCGTCCGAGCACCGAGGCAAAAATTACTCATCCAAGACTGTAACACCATTCGGACACGGGGAGTCGAACCCCGGATTCCCCCGTGCATTCGCGGAGCGACTGCCTTAAGGAACGAGAGGGTGTACCGTACACCACATCCGATTCCTGGGCATCTTTGAAGGCGAATAAATATGCGGATAGTACACAACTCATGTACCCTACCCCATGCCCGATTCCTGGTTTAGCTGCGAAGGCAAATTCAGATAGCCGGGTAAAAATTTTGCGACGATCAATGATGCACTTACGTTGAAGGAGGACCGGGTTGAAGTTGAACCGTTCAAATTCTCCTTCGAGCTGGGTTAAGAGCAAGTTGCGGTTTCTGTGCAGTTGGGCGGGTTGGCAATTTGCACCTCAGAAAAGAATTGCCAACTCATCAATCGGACACGGGGAGTCGAACCCCGGATTCCCTCTTTCATTAGATTGACGCTGCACCTTCAAGGAACGAGCGGGTGTACCGTACACCACATCCGATTCCTGGTATAGCCGGCAAAGTTGGTAGGTGGGCAAATTTTGCAAGCACTTGTAAGTAGGGGGGACTCAGCTCGTATTTGATTAACGAAGTATGGTGCGCTTCACTTAGTCACCACCACTTTGTAACAAGTGATCCTATGGCTGAAGGAAAAATCCCATTTTTTATCCCTCTTGCAAAAACACTCAGTTTCACAAGAGGAAACTTTTGATAAAAGGGATTTTTATTTGCTTTAGAATTGAGTGAGTAATATTTTGGGGATGGCTCAGATTGGGACTCTGCCGCTCACCGGGTCAATTTCCCGCCCACAGAGGTGTAACTTTTGACTTTTTGACCTAGCTGAAGCTCCTTTCGGTGATACAAGTTCACCACCTTGGTTAAACTGCCCTTAATATAGACAAAAACAGCCTGAAAAGGGACCTGAAAAGTCAAAATTTCCCCGCCAGATTTGGGACTAGTCACATTTAGGTGGTGACTAGATGAAGCGCACCATAGTTGAAGTTTGAACTGTTCGAACTTGAAGCCCTCGTGACCCGGTTGACCATGAAATCCTCTCGGTTCGTGAGGTCTTCGGTATCATGTGGTAGGTCTCGCGAGTATAAAGCATGCAAAGACGTCAGTCGTGAAGCAATTATTACAAAAAATAACCCGAAAAATTATACAATTCATTCGGACAGAGGGAGTCGAACCCTCGACTGCCTCATATACTTGGGTAGGCGAGCCGAAGTAAGGGAGGCGGTGTTACCGTTACACCATGTCTAAGTCCTCGCTCGTTCCCTCATTTGACTGTAGCTATGGCCATGTCCTAGTAGAATAATAATAAAAAAGTGAACAAACGTGGAACAGGAAAGCAGACACGGGGAGTCGAACCCCGAGCGACCTCTGAACATGCGCGAACTTCATGAAGAGGCAGAGGTAGTGTTTGCGATTACACCATGTCTGAGCTGGTAGGGTTGTAAAGTGGGTCGGAGAGATGACGCGATTTTGAATGCCACAAAATAGCCTTAACCTCGATTTTCCCGCGCGGAACCGGCCGCTTGCTGTTGGACGAAAAACGAGGCGTCCGAATGCGGGTGATGGAAAGTAAACACGGGCAAATACGGCTGCCTTTTGCTTTTATTGAAACGCTCGCGGGGCTGGCCATGGACTCGTCGCTGGCCAACTGGGACGGGTCAATGACTCCCCAGAGGACCGCAGCCACGGCGCATACTGCGAGCTCAAGTTCAAGTTCAAGTGCAAGTAACAATAATACCGCAAATTTGGTGGCGACAACAGCAAAGGACTCTGGGAACGCGAATCCGGGACAGAAAGAAGGGACGTTGGTGAAGAATGGCGGTGGGAATGGACAAGGACAGGTCAGTTTCTGACATCGATGTATTCTTGGCGTTATCTACCAATCTGACTCGCCCGACGCGTAGCCGCACAAAGGACATCCAAAATCGTCTGAATTGAGCGTAAACAACGGCCATAGCACCCAGGGACTGTACTTTGGTGTCCCGGGCGAGATATTGAGCGTGCGTGTCCGTTTCGATTTCAATTCGCATCCCACGCAAACGCGCCTTCTTTTTTTACAGAAACCACTCGCGCCCGCGCGCTCCTCACCTATAAACAACAACTCGAGCTTGGGAGCTGCCCTGGGGTTGTCCGCCTCGTCCTCCAATTCAGATTCAAGTACCAGTAATAATACGTCGCTCTCGACCAACGCCGCGGCCCCTCGCCACTCCCTCCTCGCCCCAACTATGCCTCTGCCGACCGACTCCTCCGCACCACCCACATTCGGCCCGCCCAACCCCGCTCTGCTGCGTCCAAATCCCAATCCCAATTTCGGCTCCGGGTCCAGCTCATCGGCGATGGGAACGGGAAGGGGGGTGGTCCCAGGTGGAATGGGCATGGGCCTCTCCCGGCGCGGCCGCGCGGCGCCGTCCGCGCTCAACTTGCCCACGGCGCTCAAAAGCGTCGCGCGCGCGCCGTCGCCCCCGCCGACGCCCGAAAACGAAAAACAGAGGGAGAGGGAGCGCGAGAGGGAGCGGCGCAGGGAGTGGGAGGAGAGCAGTGGGGGCGGTGGGGGCGGTAGCAGGGGGCGGGGACGCACGTCGTCGAGCTCTACGTCGAAGGCGGCAACATCAGCAGCAGCCGCAGGCAAGTCGAAGCCGTCGGTGAAATCGAAGCTGGCAAAAGGAAGCACGGCGGCATCGGCATCCCAATCGCGATCCTCCTCTCCGCTCTCGAGTCTCTCGTCTTCGCCCCCGACGGTGACAAGGCCCACAACCGCAGGCACGAAGCCGGGAGCGATGGCGGCGGGCGCGTCATGGTGGACGGGGGTGTATGAGGTTCGTGTCTTACCGCCGATTCTTTTTTCTTTTTTCTCCTTGGTCGTGCATGTGTTTTTTCTCGTTTTTTATTTTGGTTCCTTTCTTTCTTTCCCTTGTTAGGCGCACTTCCTTCCTTTCCGGGGTCGCCCGCCCATGACTTTTTTTCCGGACGGATGATCAAAGACGATCGATCGGCCAGCGATCGGGCTTTCCTTTGGTCTCCATCTCCGTCTCCTTTTTTTGCTCATCTCGTCTCGCTACCCTCCTGCTACTTGCTACGACGGTACCACCTCTACGCACAGCGTCCTTTCTTGCATTGTACGCCTTTGGTTCCCCTCGTTTATGACCCCCACTCGCGTTCTTGGCTTTTGATTGTCTCGCCATTCGGCTTGGGATAGGGATAAGAGAGGGCCCGCTTCTTCCTTCCTTCTCATTTGTTACTTGTTACTGCTTACTTCTCACTGCGTGGTGGGACTCGGGACCTGGCTTGCGCGCGCTCGCTTCCTGTGTCACCGTCCCTTCCTTCTACACTTCTGCACTTCCGCCTATCTATCATCTATCTTCTCATCCTCTTCTCATCCCTCTTTCTCCCTCCCTCCCCCCCTCCTCCGTGCGCGTCCTAATTAACACCCACCCACCCCCACGCAGGACCAACCCAGCAAGAGCACGTCGTCCGCCGCCTCCCGGAGCAAGAGCACCGCGGCGTCGTCTTCTGGGTCCTCCCGTGCGCGTCGCGGTCCGCCGGGTATTCGCGTCAATTTGGGATCGGGCTCGGGCACGGCTATGGGTACGACGAGCGCACGGAGGCCGAAAGCGACAGACCGCGAAAAGAGTAGGGACAGGGACAGGGAAAGGGACAAGGACAGAGAGAAGGACAGAGAGAAGGACAAGGTGCAGGCGGTGCGGTACGAGTCGAAGATGGTCAAGGGAGCGGGAGAGGTGTGTTTTCTTCCTTCTTCCTTCTTTTTCTTTTTTTTTGGTGCGCGGGGAAGGGAGAGTGCGCTGGAACCTGCGGCGGACGTCGTCGCCGTTCATCCAGGGTGCAGGGCAGGGCGCGGACGAAGAAGTTGCGCATGCTGGTGGTCCCGGCGTCGGCGTCGGCGTCGGGAGAGGCTACAGCGAGGGCTTTTTTTCATTTTCATTTTTCTTTGCTTTGTGGGGTGGGGCATGGTCTGCACGCTAGCGCGAATGGAGCTCCGACGATATTCCTTTTTATTCTTCTCGTGGACCTCGCACCGTGTGCTGATACTCATTTGTGCGTTGACAGACTAGGACTGGGACTGGGACTGGCGGGAGTGTGAAGAGCGCGGCGAGTGGCAAAAGCCAGGGTCAGGATCAGGTTCGTACCTTCTTTCTTTCTTTCGTCGCATTTTTCTTTTGGCGTGGCGTGAGTTTGCGCGTCGAGATGGGAGGCAGGGACGTCGTGCGCAACTTGAGTTCGCGACTACGACAATTGCGTCGGGGATGGATGTCGTGTCCTCCTGGGAGTGTAGGACAGACAGACCCTCTGCGGGCGTCGCGTCGCGGGCATTGGTGAGGCACGATGACTCGCGACAATTTTGTTACCTACTTTCTACTTTCGGCTTTCGGCTTCCACTGTCTGACGAGTGTGTGCTGATACTTGCTCATTTCCGCGCGCAGACTGCCCGTACCGATAGCGTGAGGAGCGCCACTGGAAGCGCTGCTGGGAGCGGCGGGTCCAACAAAGGCGGAAACCAGACTCGGGTGCGTACATTCATCCTTGCTTACATTTCCTTACTCACAACAACTACGTACTCCGCAGCTGTTCATGCCCTCCCCCGACCTCGACCTCGACCTCGCACCCGGGAGACCCTCCTCTAATCCGCTCGATCTGCTCGATTTCTACGCGAGTGAGAACGAGGGCGAGGATCAGTCGGAGCGGGGGGTACACGAGCTGTTCACGCCTCCCCCCGAGCAGATGGAGGTGGACGATTTGTTCACGCCGCCGCCGCCCGCGTCGGGTCGTCGGGGTCAACAAGAAGCGGAGCGGGAGTGGGAGGAGGAACGGGAGAGGGAGAGGAAGAAGCGCCGCGCGCCGCCGGCGCCGGGGGTGGGGGTTGCGCGGAAGGTGGTGGTGCGCGGGGACGGGAACGGCAACGCCGGCGAGAGGAAGGTCGTGCGAACGGAGCAAGACACAAATAAGGCGCAGAAACGCAAGCGGGTGATGGAGTGTGTGCTTGTGCCGCGGGCGCCGTATGCTTTGTATAAGCGGGCGAGGGTAGAGACGGGGGTGGGGAGTCGGAGCAAAAGTAAAAGCGCGATCAGGACGTATGCGGGGCGGGGGAGGAGTACGGCGTCGTCGTCGGCGTCAAGGTGGGGGAGGGACGGGGAAGATGAGAGCGGGGAGGAGAGCGACGACGGGGAGGGTGGTGTGGGTAGGAGGAGAGCGGGGGCGACGAAATCAAAATCGAGATCGCACACGACTGGTCGGCAATTCAAGATGGAAAGCGAGGAGGTGGAGGTGGAGAGCGGGGAGGAAGACGACGACGACGATGCTGCGGCTGCGCAGGACGTGGCGCCCTCGCTAGGTGCGGCGTTTAACGCGGCGTTTGCGCAGAACGAGCGTGGGGGCACGATTCCCGTCGGGAAGGCGGTCAAGGCGGCGGCGGAGACGGTGGTGGTCGTGAAGGCGAAGGCGAAGGACAAGGCAGCGCGTCGAGCGCTTTCAAAGCACACGGAGAACCAGAGTGAGGAAAAAGACAAGGGGGAGAAGGAGAAGCGTGCGCGGAAGGCGCCGCGTCCGCGGGACGAGGAGTTGCTCATCGCCTCTGTCTCCGCGCCACCGCAAAAGGAAAAGCGGCGCAGGCCGAGCGGGTGGTGCGACGAGCCGACGGCGGAGGGGGTGGTGCGGCTGCATTGGGACTTGGAGGTGGCGGAGGCGGATCGGGCGGCGTGTGCGGGGGTGTTGCGGCATCTGGGCGTCGTCGATGCGGGTGCTGAGCTTGCTCTCGCAGGCGCGGGAATGGGAATGGGAGTCCGGGTGAGGCGGTGCGTTGTGTGGCCGTTGAAGGGGGAGGGAGAGATATCGGCGGGTGGGCCTGTGCGTGGGATGTGGCCCGCGGTGGAGGCGGAGGGTAAGGAGCGGAGGCGGGACGAGGGGGCGAAGAAGATTATGGCGGCGCCGGCGGCGAGGGGGCGGTCGACACAGAGGGCGATTCAGGGTCCGCCGTCGCCGACACCCAAGGAGATGCGCCCGCAGTTTTCGCCATTGCAGATGCAGCCGCAGCAGGGTCCGTCGACGATGGTGTACAAGTCAAAACCTCGGCCCCGCGCATCGCTACCCAAGCCGTCGAAATCTTACCCGACGCTGCCGTCCCCTGCGATATCTCCAACGACACCGTCGTATCCCGCGTTCCCATCGCCTTCGCACTCAGCTCCTCCGTCGTCTATGCCTTCGCATCCCTCCCCATTCTTCTCGTCACCCTTCAC